AATTAAAAAATTCTTCACTATATTCCTTTTCTACATCTAACTACAGTATAGCAAAAAAAGAGTTCATTTTGGTTTCATCTTGAACGTCGATTTCTGTTGTCCGTATGCCTCGAATTCGATCTAGATAATTCTTATTACCTGTCTCAATCCACATGCCCAGCCTGGTAGGTCCAACTTATATTTGTTGTTGAGTCTGTTTTGACCCAGTTTATTATTTTTGGATTTTTGTATGTATTGGATTATTTCAGAGTTCTAGGGTTTATGATGATCAAAGCTTTTAAAGTTGAATCCATAATGCGATGCGTTTTACCCCTCGTGAGACAACCCATAAGCATTTCTAATTTTAGTTTTATATTTAGTAAATAAATAAAATATCTTGAAGTAGCAACAAAAATATTAAAAGTTAAACATAAAAGTGTAAATACTTTTCTTCTCAAGGCACCGAAATCGAAATTAACGTCCTTAACTTAAATTTTCGAGTTTCTCACTTGAGCCTCAACTTTTTTTTTTTTAACATGATTTTTCCTATGAATATAGTTGACAAAGAGGTTATTCTTTTCTTATGTTTAAACAACCTACTAGACTAAGTTTAACAAGAGCCTAACAAGCTCTTCATATGCTTACGTGCGAAAGGCATACAAAGTGCACCTGAGGCGAACACCTTAGACTGTGATGCTCAAGTATTTGGGGAATATTGGCTAGAAAGCAAAGCCTCAATCTGCATAAGCCTGCAAATTCTTGTGTGCTTGTGTGTTTGTTTTGTTTTAGCTTTTCTCATCCCTTTTGCCATAATAATTTCAAAATATAGAAGGTTTTCGAGGGTTTGAAATTGAAATCAATCCCTTTAAGTTTGTGCTTTCATGATCATATTATCTAACTGATCAATGGAACATTTCTTTTTTATGGATTGAAGATTCAACAGTCCAACAAGTCAGCTTGAATGGCAAGAAAAGAAAGATAGTAGCAGTGACCTTGGCATTTTTAATTGGACTTTTTCTGCTGGGTATGAGCCTAATCGTGTATCTCCGAAAAAGGAAAAGGAATAATTCACAGCTAAGAAGAGAAGGTATATATCCCATGTATGTCATTCTTGGCAAACTTTGTAATGGTATGTTACATTTTTGGAACTAGTTGTCATATTGATATCCATTCATCCCAGGCTTTGCAGGAAATCTGATGCACAACTGTGAACAAGGTCACACTGACAAAAGCCAAATGGAAGATCTAGAGTTACCATTGTTCGACTTAGCTGTAATAGTTAATTCCACAAATAACTTTTCAATCAACAATAAGCTCGGAGAGGGTGGTTTCGGACCAGTTTACAAGGTAGGTGCCTAATTCAATCATTCATTCAGTTTGTTTCTCAAAACTTCCCATTATATTCACTCAGAATTGATTACTCTACATTTTAAAAAAATTAATAAGCACTCATTTGCATTTAATAAGAGTTTTATTATCTGAACTACCTCCAATGAAATATGATGTAGAATGACTTTCAACATAGACGTTGTGCTAAGCATGGGGCAGAAACAAACATTGGGCCCTTTAAAAGAGGTGTCAAACACCACTTGAAACACAACCAAAAATCTCTTCTGTCATAACCAAAACAACAACCACAATAACGAAACTCCACTTGAGGCATAACCAAAGACTTCTTCGGTTATAATCAAAATATTTACCACAATAGGTCATACTAAGTCATAACCAACACCACATTGAATCATAACCAAGTCATAACCAACAATACAATGGGTCATAACCAAAGATCATAAACTTTGTAACTGGGACATATGATACCCACCTTTTTGGAGGTGTGCATTATAGAATTTTTCGAACAAACATTATATTGAAGAAAAAAACACGAAGGAAAAATACAGAAAAATAAATGTGGCTTCTTTTAATGGAAACATATTGCACCCTGACAAACAAAATGGTTCTCAATTTTCAGGGTATGCTGGAAGGTGGACTAGAAATAGCTGTTAAGTTGCTTTCGAAGAATTCCCAACAAGGAGTCGATGAGTTCAAGAATGAAGTTATTTGCATTGCCAAGCTTCAGCATCGAAATCTTGTAAAGCTTCTGGGATACTGCGTTCAAGGAGAAGAAAGGTTGTTAATATATGAATACATGGCCAACAATAGCTTGGACTCCTTTATTTTCGGTATGGCTTTCTTAAAACCTTTATCTCGTTTCATTCTACTTCATAATGGAGCAATACTGTGACTATTGTCCCATTGTAAAGATGAATTGTGAGGTTCACAGCCAAAACGGAGGCACTTCTACTTTACCAACCGGTGACATTTTTGTCTTTTATGCCCCCCTCAATTGTAACCTTTCCATTTTATGAATCTAAAGATGAAGGTCTTACTAATTAACTTCTTAGCATATGTCCTAATCTAACGGACTTACTCCAATGCAAAATTATTATGTTTTTGTTTAATGTAATCATTTTGCATATGTACTCAGAGAACTTAACTACCATCTAGCAACTTAGTTTAACTTGGGCAAAAAATGGACAGATCAATCAAAGAAGATGCTACTGGATTGGCCTAAGCGCTTCCACATAATCAATGGAATTGCTCGGGGGCTTCTTTATCTTCATCAAGATTCCAGATTTAGAATTATCCACAGAGACCTGAAAGCTAGCAACATTTTACTAGATCATGAGATGAACCCCAAAATATCAGACTTTGGCTTGGCTAGAATTTTTGGAGGAAATGAGACCGTAGCAAATACTAAAAGAGTAGTTGGAACATTGTAAGAATCTACTAACCAGTCCAAAATTTTACTTTTAACTATATAAATTGGTTTATTTGTTCATTGTTTTCTTGCAGGGGGTACATGTCTCCAGAATATGCAATTGAGGGACGCTTCTCAGTAAAGTCTGATATATTTAGCTTTGGTGTTATGGTATTGGAAGTGGTGAGTGGGAAGCGAAACTGGGGATTTTGTGACCCAAACCACCACCTCAACCTTCTTGGGCATGTAAGCATATAGAGTTGAATCATTTTTCTTTTGAAGAAGGAAAATTATATAAAAAGAAAAAAAAAAAAGTGATTTCTTTTAAAATGGAAGATCTCAATTCAATTCCATCATTTTGTATAATTTATCTAGAATTACTGTTTGAAAATTAGAACAATTGCTTATAAATTGTTACCAATTGTTCAGGCCTGGAAATTATACAAGGCAGGCAAAACTACAGAATTGATTGATGCATCAATGCAAAACTCATGCAATCTCCCTGAAGTGTTGCGTTCGATTCATGTCGGTTTGTTGTGTGTGCAACACCGGCCAGAGGATAGGCCTAACATGGCGAGTGTGGTTTTGATGTTGGGCAGAGAGGGTGCACTGACTCACCCCAGACAACCTGGTTTTTTCCCTGAATGAAATATTCTTGAAGCAGAGTCAGAAAGAAGAGAGATTGAAAAATGTTCAGCCAACATGGTCACTATAACTCTGTTAGAGGCCAGATAGAAGACAATTCATGCTCATGTTTAATTGTTATATGGTCCAAGACCTTTGAGTTTGTTTAGATCATGTACATAATATAGATTTTTTAAATTATTAGCTTACAATTTTTAAATATATTGGAAATTTGTTTTGTGAAACTGTTAATAATTTGTGAACAAAGTTGAACATATTTTGTTAAATAAACTGTCGCATAGTTTTTTTTTATATATATATTTATTAGGGGTGTGCGAGGTGCGGTTTGGGCAGTTTGAGAGTAAAATTACAAACCGAATGGTGGGTTAGCGGATTAGCGGATTGAGAAATTTCGGTTTGGGTGGTTTTTGGCGGATTGAAGAATATTCTAACTAATTATCATACATTTGCATAATATATAACACTAATTTGTATAATATTTTTTAGATATATAACACAAAGCAATGCTACATAATATGTTTCACAGATATAACCACTAATTTGTAATAAATTTCATATCTTAAACCTCTCTCACACTCATTTTTACATTGATATTTTATTGGAAGTGAAAAAATATATACGTATTAACTATAGCGGAGTGAAGCAGTTCGGTTGGCGGATTATAAATTTTAAAGTTTAAACCGCGGCTAGCGGTTAGAACGGTGTGGATCAGTGCGATTTTAGCGGATTGGGCGATATTTTGCACAGCCCTAATATTTATTATGCAAATGTACAGAATGGCCTATTTGGTCAAATATGCTATCACATAGTTTTTTTGTTATGCAAATGTACATAATGCCTTTAAAAATTATATTTATGACAAAGGGGATGGGGTTATTTTTCCATACTTATTTAAGAGATTTAAATAAGTTGAAAAAAAGTTCTAAATTATAGGCTTAATTATTGGTCAGTTCTACTTATAGAACTTATTACCCATTACGTTTTGATTTAAAATCTTATACACATAAGTTTTGTCCCATTTGTTTTTTTTCCTTTTCCACTCGAGTGTTTTCTGTTACCTAAATAATATTTTAATCTATCTCTTTCTCTAAGAAACGTTTCTCTGTCTACCATCTCTCTCTTCATCTTTTCTCTCTCTCTCTTCGCCATTTTTTCAAAAACTTCACACAACCATTAGTTACAACCACTCTCACCGTCTACCACCACTCTCACAGTCATGATCTACCGCCACTACTATCGTGGCTATTCACCACCATCGTTGTTGTTCGGCTACTGCCACCATTCATCAATTATCACCACCGCTGATGTATGCACCACCGCCACTATCTTAGATCCACCACCACCACCGCATTTCCACCTCTATTATCGCAGATCTACACTGTGACATCTCAAATGCTTAATTTATTTTAATACTACGTTAATACCAAAATAAAAAATAAAAAAAATAACAGTTGCACACCATACGCCCCTTTATTATTGGCCATTAAATTACATAAATTGATCCTGACCATTGGATTCTTTAATTTTAAAAAATTAGACATCGGAGCAACTGGTTGACCCATCTCCATTCTCTCTTCTTCCATAGTGTATTCTCTCTCTACTTTCACTTTCGTCTCTCTCTCTCCGTGTCGCCCCCTCTCTCTCTCTCTCTCTGCTACCCCTTCCTTCCATCTTTTCCCCTGCTCCTCTCGCTTTCTTCTCTCCCTACTACGCTCATTCCTCTCTTTTTCTCTGGCTCGACTGAATGCAGGCCGAAGTGGTTGTTCTGTTTAAAATCCTAATCTAACCTAGTGAGCCTCTGTCTGGTTTCTAAGAAACAAAGGATTTTTTTTTTTTGAAGGGCAATCAACAAGGTATGTCTCCCTGTAAGTATTTCTAAAACCCCCTCTTCTAAAACTCTCTTCTTCCCCATTTTTTACTCTGTTTTCTCTCTTTGAATTTGTATTCCAGTCTCCCCTGGCTCACACTGATTCGAAATTTGTACGAATGAAGCAAGGCTTTGTAAGGATTTTATTCTATTTTTAATAAAACATGCCTAAATTTCACATAGTTTCACACACCTTTTCCCTTTCCCTTTTCAAATCCCTCCTCAAATCCTCCAACTAAACACACCATAAGTATTTCTAAAACCCCCTCTTCTAAAAGTCTTTTCTTCCCCATTTTTTACTCTGTTTTCTCTCTTTGAATTTGTATTCCAGTCTCCCCTGGCTCACACTGATTCGAAATTTGTACGAATGAAGCAAGGCTTTGTAAGGATTTTATTCTATTTTTCTATTTATATATCTCGGTTGCATTTGTCATGAAATAATCCATTTTTACATTAATTAATATAGTATTTTGTGACCATTTTGTTGCTTCCATGACTTCTTGATTTGTTGCAAAATATTTCATCTTATTTTGGCATTAAAATTATTGGGCTAATTATGTTATTTGAATTTTGATTGCATTTAAGATGTTTGTAAAAATGCTTAGTTTGTTAGCAAGTTAAACAAAAGTATTTTGGAACTATATTTTCATTGCATTTAGATGTTGTTGAAAACTTGTGATTGATTTAACATGTTCTCCAAAGATTTATCCCAAAATATATTTAGTGATATTCACATGAAGTAGCTATAACTTGTGGTTGGGACCTCCCAATTTGTAAGTTAGGGCAAATAGTTATTCCAAGTGTTTTTGGTGATGTACTTATTGTTCTAGTTGAATTAAATAGTCATCTGAATTAAATCTTTTGTTTGATTGGTTTTTAAATATACATATGTGTGTGTGTGTGTGTATTGAAAAATGAACATAGTTCACATACAACTGTACCGGTAAAGAGAGGCTCTCCTGCGGCAGGTGCGGGTGCGCTCAAGTGCTAGTGCCCGTATGCTTTGGTAGGTACGCGATGCTGCCGTCCGCCCCTAAAAAGGCCTGGCATCGTGGGATTAGGGGCGATCAAGCTTAAGCACCTTGTGTAGTTCCCCCTCGAGCGCAAAACGCAAGAGTCCCCTTTTGGTATCAGAGCCTTATAAGACTGCCGATCCTCTCACTCTCCGAGCACCGGTAAAGAGAGGCTCTCCTGCGGCAGGTGCGGGTGCGCTCAAGTGCTAGTGCCCGTATGCTTTGGTAGGTACTCTGATTGCTTACAAAGCAAGTTTTTATTTATAACCCCTTCATTCATGTTTTTTATATTGGAAGTCATTGATTATATGATCCAGTTTGTGAGCTGTTTATGTTTTTTTTAGATCTATTGAAAAAAGTAATTGTTGTTTGATTGCGGATTATCTATCAGAAGCCATTTAACACTCAGGTACCTATGGGACAATGGAGTACTTCTTGTTTTGGAATGGATGGTTAAGATCCTTTTTTTGGAGTTTAAGTGCCATGGCAAATCTAAAATGTAGCATTGTTGATCTTTATTTTGTCATGCATGAGCATTTTTGATTGCTGCCTTTTTATGCAGGCATATAATTTGTCAAGGGACCACAAGCCTGACCTCGAGGCTGAGAAGGATAGGATTCTGAAGGCTGGTGGTTTTGTCCAATATGGACGGGTCAATGGAAGTCTAAACTTGGCAAGAGCAATTGGTATTTCATCTCTCTATTTTCTTTGTGTAAGCATGAACAAAGTAGAGATCTAAGAAGGATGGACATGGACATGGTCCATGGACATGGACATGGTCCATGGACATGTAAATTTTCAAAAAAATGTAGGATATGACATGTGGGACATGCACAATGTAGTTATTTATATCTCATATATAAGGATAAGAACTTATTCCATGTCACATATAATGCTATTTAATTCAAAGACTAACATATGTTACACTAATTTCTAATAAAGCTACATTGTTTTTCTTTTATCTTGGATTTCAAGTTACTTTATTCGAACTTGTATTGTATTTCATGTGTGCCTAAGCAATGTGCATGTATTCTCCAAGTGTCTACAGCTTGTTTGAGTCAAGAAAATTTTAAAAAAATAATGGGACATGTTTTGAGGTGTGTTTGACAAGGGTCGAGAATTGTCCCATGACTGTTGGTGTCGGACACAACACACTACCTTACTAGAAGTGTCCGTGTTTCTCAAGTCAAGATTGTATTCTTTTGTTTGCTTTTGCTCATCTTTTTTCATGGATTTGAGGAGACATGGAATTGAAGCAGAACAAATCACTGCCTGCTGAGAAGCAAATTGTGACTGCCAATCCTGATGTAAATACAGTATGTAGCATCTACATTTATACTGTGTTTTAGCTGTTGCATCTACACTTATATATCATGTTTTAGCTATATGGGCTAGTCAAAGACTCAAACATTGAAAATAAAGCTGAGTCATAAATTTTAGGATGTTATATGAATTTTACTTTGATATATGGGCTAATTTTAGGGTTATAGCTGTTAAAATATGATATTTTCTTATTTCTCACTCACGAGATATACACTTTTTTGTATGCAAATATCCCAGATAAGTTGTCTTCAGCTGTTTGATTTTTCATTTATGGTTTTTTCTTCATATCCTTGTCAACCCGTTGATAAATATTGTATTGTCTTATATCATATTTTAATCTGCTTGAACTAGGTGGAGCTTTGTGATGACGATGAATTTCTCGTGATAGCGTGTGATGGTATATGGTAAGTCTCTTATTTGTGTTGCCTCTTCCCTTCTTAATCTTATTTTTTTCGATAATTAGTTAGTTACAGATGTTCTTCATAAAGCTTCAGCCATAAGTTCTTTGGGGAGTTCATTGGATTTAATACTTTTGTTTAGAAGTGAGTAGAGCTCATAAGTCATAAGCATTGTATTACAAGAAACTAGAAATCAACCTAATGAAGAAACATTGACCATGTTACATTACTAGAGTTGTGGCTTTTGCTTGCCACTTGGGCCCTGCTTTAATCCTTCCAGTAGAGTATTTTAGACTCCTAGTGAAGAGCACTAATTTTTTTTTTCTTTTTTTGATTGGCACAGGGGTGTCAATATTTAATGAATTCAATATAAATTTTGGGCTTGAGTAGGCCACTTTAAACAGATATGAGTGGACAAGAAAGGAATTTATATATAGATTTTATACAAGGGATGGTTTTTATGGCACTTATGATAGCAATTGAATTTCTGACTTTTTTGGTCCCTTTGTCATTCTACTATGCCCAAAAAGAAGCTCTGCTTGAATTCATTTGGCCATATAATGAAGATGAACCTTTCATTCAATTTTCATTTCACTAATGGATTACCGAGTGTATTAAGAAGATTGGTTCTATCATTCTATTGACAGCCCACTAGTCCTTTTATGCGGTCGAAAGTTTGCTACAAAAATAGATAAATGTAGCTGAGACTGATCAACCTGGGATCTAGCTTTGCTTGCTGCACTACATCTTGCAGCCATACCCATCCCTTTCTATCCTCATTTTTGCTTTGATTTCCATTAGCAACTTCAAAACTAAATCCCCAAATCCCATAATATGAAACTCGTGAAAGTCAATTAAACATTTTCATTCCCCATGTCTCAGCCCCTTCATCCAATTCAGAAAGGGCAGGCAACATCTTTCCCCCCTTCAGGGTGCTATTCAAAGCTTTCATTGTGGAATTGATTTCATGAGCTGTTACTTTCTTTCATACCATTTATTGTGTTTGTAGATAGTTGAATATATGCTTATGAACATGCAACGAGGCAGTTCCTTGAACTTGCAAGGTATGGCATTTTGATCCATTGCAAAAGTAGTCTTATTATTCGTTCTTTGTTTAGAGACACTAATTTCTGACGAGGCAGTTCCTTGTACCTGCAAGTTATGGCATTATGATCCATTGCAAAAGCAGTCTTATCATTTGTTCTTTGTTTAGAGACACTAATTTCTATTGTGCTTTAGATATGAAGGAGGATGAGACTGAGGCTGAGGCTGAGGCTGGGTTGGAGTGCCTATATCAATCTGCAAAGAAAGAGCTACAAGTGTACCTGAATGTAGATGGGCCATTGAAAGACTCCAATGAGAGTTCCACACAAAATTAGCAAGACTGGCCAGGTATTTTCAATATTTTTTTAAACTATTGTTTTCTTCTGCATAATATGAACCGGTTGACTCACTAAAATGTTCAAATGGTGTTGGATGTCAACAAAACTTGACACACACGACTAACTAGGCACAAATAACTTGCAGGAAAAGATAGTACTCGATGATTCCCGATTTTGAATCTGGAGCCAAATTTCCGTTTGTGAAAACTTGAACGGGTTAACACACTAAAATGCTCAAGCGGCGTCAGATGTCAACGAAACTTGACACACTTGACTAATTACGCACAAATGACTTGTAGGAGAAGACGGGACTTGAAATTGTTTTCCGGTTTTGAATATAGAGCCTAATTTCCATTTATGAAAATTTATTCTTTAGAAACTATTTTTCGAATTGGTTGACACACTAAAATGCTCAAACGGCATCAAATGTCAACGAAACTTGACACCCTTGACTAATTAGGCACAAATGACTTGTAGGAGAAGGCATGACTTGAAACCGTTTTCCGGTTTTGAATCTGGAGCCTAATTTTTGTTTATGAAAACTTATTCTTGGGTTTTCTTTTTTTTGATTCGGTTGACTCACTAAAATGGTCAAAACGGCGTTGGATGTCAACAAAACTTGACACACACAACGTACTAAGCACAAATGACTTGTAGGTGAAGACTGAACTTGAAACCGATTCCTGGTTTTGAATCTAGAGCCTAATTATATGTTACAATCTGATTTATGTATGTATTTATTATTGAAATAAATATCAAATGTTTTACAACTTTTGTAAGCTTGAAATTAATTATATTGTAAATGATGTTTTTTTTTTTTGGTTTCTTTTTGAAGATGCAACCCCTTTTGAGTACATGATGATATCTTCGCATATCGATATTGGAACTTACTATATATATGTTTTTTATTTGTATTGTCGATACTTATGTTTTGTTTTAGATACAAAAATTTGAGTTCTTGAATATCAAAAATTATTAGTATTGTTGGAGGATATTTGATATATTTTTGTAAAGAATATTTTGTTGACAATTGTTACGAGGTACATATATATTATTCTTAGTACAATTTTGTGAATGTCGATGTGGATGTGGATGTGTTTTATTTAAGAAAATATTAATAATTGGTACAAGGAATGAATTAATAAAATATATATTGATTTTATGAAAATAATTTTATTGCAACAATAATAAATCGTCGCTGATGTAATCATCATTTCCTTACATTTTATTAGTGAGAGGTTAACCTGTTGCATATACATATTAGTTCAAATCTTTAGCGCCGGTTCAAACTGTCGCAATATGATATTAATTTTTTTTTGGGACGTTTTTGACCGTCGCTAATAATACTTTTTGTGACGTCAAATGCTGTCACCAAAAAATTTTTGGCGACGGCAACCAACATCGTCATTAAAAGTGAAGTTTTTTCCCTTTTGTTTGTGTCAGGTGAAACCGTCGCAAAAACTATTGATTAGCCATCCCTACAAGAAAGCGACGGTTTGTAACCGTCGCAAATACTTTTTGTCACGCCCTCTTCTGCCACCCCCCATTTCTGATATTAATTTTTTTTTTGCGACGTTTTTGACCATCGCTAATAATACTTTTCGTGACGTCAAATGCTGTCACCAAAAAAATTTTGGCGACGGCAACCAACATTGTCATTAAAAGTGAAGTTTTTTTCCTTTTGTTTGTGTCAGGTGAAACCGTTGCAAAAACTATTGATTAGCCATCCCTACAAGAAAGCGACGGTTTGTAACCGTCGCAAATACTTTTTGTCACGCCCTCTTCTGCCACCCCCCATTTCCCGTCGTTACTCCGCTGCAAAAAGTCTTTTGCGACGATATGTGAATCTTTTGCGACGTTTAAGGCCGTCACAAAAGCTCCAGTTTTTAGTAGGCTTCTTTGTAGCATTGATTTGGATTTGGTGAAATCTTCTTTTACTTTGAAGGAGGAGGTGTATCATTGTCTTATTAATTATTGGAAATGGGGTCACAGCAGTGATTGTGGTGTCTCTATTTGAGGTGTATTATGGTCTTATTTTTATGATCCAACCTGTTAATTTTGTAGAGTTTGTTGAGTACTTCATGCCTACCAAAAATCATATTAATCGGATATCAAAAACTATATGATCGAATTGCATATTGTTTATGCTATTTCTCAAATGAAAAACTTATTATTTATTTTTTTGGTTATCGATCATATAGTTATTGATATTCAATTAATATGATTTTTGGTAGGCATGAAGTACTCAACAAACCCTACAAAATGAACGGTTTGAATTATAAAAATAAGGTCATAATACACCTCAAATGGAGGCACCACAGTGACCCCATTTCCTTAATTATTTATGTTTAAATTTCTTTCTTCCACTTATTTAAAAAAAAATTATAGATTCATTAGTCAAAACTTCATCTTTGGCTTTGAAACTAGAAAAAACTAGCTTTCAATCAAAAGCTGCTATGCACCCCTGGTATTAGCTTATTCATTTACTTAAGGCATAGGTGAGATAGAATAGGACTACTTTTTAGCCATAAAGCATGTCTTACTCGATTAATATACACAATTATTCTGTGTAGGACTTGATCTTTGAGTCGAGTCAGATCAGGTACTGTGAGAGTGGCAGAGGTTTGGGCACCATCTAAGATTTCTGAGGGCCTGCTTGTTTTTATTCTTTGATGTATTAGGGTGTGGGGTGGTTGTGTTTACCACTATTCAAATTTGCAGCATCTCTGGATGACCATCAATCTACATTGAACCTACAGTAGTGAAGATTACAAATACTAATTGCACAAAACCCACCGTCACAATTTAAAAAAATAAAATAAAAAATCAACATGCATTCAATTTTGAATCTGTACTAACTGATGACTTTTATTTTGTCCTCTTTAGCAGGTATAGCTATTCGGATTGGTAAGGTCCTTGACGTGGTGAAGCGGTTGGAAAACACCCAAAGCTTGTATGGACAAAAGGCGAGTCTAGATGCTTGAGGAACTAAAATTTGTGTAAGTGACATTGAATGAATTGACAAAAAAAAATGTAGATACCCCTCACGAGGATGGAGGACAAGGTAAGGATGAGGAACATGAAGAAGAGTTGGGAAATGATGAAGATGATGATGATGAGGGAGATGAAGAAGAATCGGGAACATAAGATGTTGAAGACAGAGATGAATTTTCTAAGGAGCCTTGACCTTGGCCTTTTCATTGTTTATCTATGCTTAGACTAAACTGATAGTTGAATATGTTGTGGGTTTTGTAGTTGTTCCAATTTGTTTATGAACACTTTTTGCTTACTTCTGGGAGTTTAGTATGATATGTTTCGTGTATACAAAAATTCTTATGGTTGGTGTTTGGTAAATTTGACCTCACCAAGTGTGGCTTGATAAGGTGTTGCTGATCTTCGTCAATGCTACCAATCAGATTATGCCACTCAACAGCTTGCTAGAGAAACTATTCATACCAAATAATTTAAAGAAAAATGCTTGAGACCTCGAAATTATATATATGTTTTTTTTCCTTAGGCAGTGTTGGTTTGAATTTTTTTTTTGGCAAGGGTGGGTTATGTGTAGGGATGTGTTAAAAAATTAGACATCCTGTACTAACTCAGCTTGTATGGTTTGATAAGGTGAGTGAGCTGGGTTGGACTGGTTGGGTGGTAATTTTGATTTGAAATAAATAGTATTGATTTGTGAAAACTTACGCCTTTTTGTTAAATCACTTGCTCTTTTTGTGAAATCACTTATTTTTTTTTATGAAAACTTACGCCTTTTTATGAAATCACTTGCTCTTTTTGTAAAAACTTACGTCTTTTTGTGAAATCACTTGTTCTTTTTGTGAAAACTTATGTCTTTTTGTGAAATCACTTATTATTTTTATGAGAACTTACACTTTTTTATGAAATTATTTACGCTTTTTTTGTGAAATCACTTACGGCTTTTGTGATAACTTACGTTTTTTTGTAAAATTATTTACGCTGTTTTGTGAAATCAATTACTCTTTTTGTGAAAACTTACGTTTTTTTGTGAAATTACTTACGCCTATTTCTGAAATTACGTACTCTCTTTGTGAAATCACTTACTCTTTTTGTGAAATTATTTACGCCTTTTGTGAAAAGTTTTACCTTTTTGTGAAATTGTTATGTCTTTTTGTGAAATCACTTACTCTCTTTGTGAAATTATTACGCATTTTTGTGAAATTACTTACTCTTTTTGTAAAAACTTACACCTTTTTGTGAAATTATTTATGCCTATTTGTGAAATCACTTACTCTCTTTGTGAAATTATTACGCATTTTTGTGAAATTACTTACTCTTTTTGTAAAAACTTACACCTTTTTGTGAAATTATTTATGCCTATTTGTGAAATCACTTACTCTCTTTGTGAAAACTTATGCCTTTTGTGAAAACTTACATCTTTTTGTGAAATTACTTACTTTTTTTTTTGAAAACTTACACTTTTTTGTGAAATTACTTACGCATTTTGTAAAAACTTAAGCCTTTTCGTTAAATTAGTTATGCTCTTTTGTGAAATCACTTACTCTTTTTTGTTAAACTAGTAACACAAATTTGTATACCAAAAAACATAAAAAGGTTAAGTGCCTTGCATATGGTATGTAAGGCACACCTAAGAAAGATCCAATATGTAGATAGATAGATAGATAGATAGATAGATAGATTAGCTGATTTGGAAACCTACCAAAAGCCAAAACAATACACATGTCTGTCACGTAAATCTTGTGAAATCTTCATAAAGATGAAAAAGAATGGACCGATGGTACTACTAGAGATTTTTATTTATATTATGCATAGGATTATTTTAAATGTACAAAAAGCATGACAAAAACTTCTTTTGAGTTGTGTTTTTACACACAGATAATTTTAAAAGTCTGAAGCAACCTAGATGTTTTCTACATTTTTAAATTCCAAAAATATCCTCAATAAATTCACAAATTATTAATATTTTACGACACCACTGGTTCAATCTCATTTTTGTTCTGGCCTTTTATGAACAGTTGCATATCTCTTTCCATCTATCAACCCTAAAAAAAATGATAGAACTTTGTTTTTTACTTACTGTTTTCTACTTTTTTTTCTCTTTATTATCTGCTTTAAAAAAAATGGTAGAACTCTATTTTCAAATTTTTTTTTTCTTGTACATTTTCTTTTCTTTTATTTCCAATTACAATTACTTGGCCCACTTTGGTTTAGAAACACGTGCAATACTTCCATCAGGCAACAACTTATTTTGTTTTAAACATGCGCCTACTCGTACCTGTTGGCCAACATCCATTTTCAATTTCAAAGCAGGCAATCTTTCTAAGGGCAACAACGTATAAAAATGCGCACATTTAGATCTCAATGTATTTTCCACAAGGTATTTGATTGTAATTAGGGAAAAGCAAGCTTCTGCGATGGCCAACGAGGGTGGATGGAAGCCGGTGTTCAGACGAAGACAAGGTATGAAGGGTCCATTAGCAAGGCTTCACACAATCTTTGTGGACGAGATTCCGGAATCGATGACCCGTAAAGGACTGTACACTATGTTTTCAAATTTTGGTATCGTCAAAGATGTCTATATCCCTGAAAAAAGAAGAAAAGCAACGAGAACCAAATTCGAATTTGTAAGGTACGATTGTCCTGTTGCAGCCGGAGTCGCGATTAGCTAATGGAGTATGGTGTGGCGATAGAATATTGAAGGTGAAAAGGGCAGATTTTGAAAGAGATAAGGAACCAACATATCTAAGAGCAATAGTCCATAAACCAGTTGGGATACTGACCCTAACAAGGGTAGATGTTGGAGGGAGAAGCTCTTACGTTGAGGCTTTGAAAGGAGGGATGAATGGTAGTGGTACTAATATTAGGATTAAGGTGGAAGAATATGCCACCGGTTGGCTACAAATGAGTGTAATTACTAAAGTTAAAACTCATTGTAGCTTTGCTGACCTCAAAGCAGATTGCCAACTCAGAGGGTTGAAGGATATTCAAATCCGAGAAGGTGGAGGAAGAAATGTGCTGATTACGTTCAAATCAAAAGAAGATATGATGCAATTCATGCATAGCTCTGGGGATTGGATTATGGAGTGGTGTGAGTTAATCATTGAATGGCATAAAGGTGTAAGGTTGGATAATGAAAGAGTTGTGTGGGTAAGATGTTTTGGTGTGCCTCCACATCTGTGGAATGTTAATAATTTTTGAAAAATCGGTGAAGCTTGCGGTGTAGTTGTTGAGATGGATCATAATGTTTTAAGCATGGAGTTGTTGAAGTGTAGGAAAGTTCGAATTTGTACATCTCAATTGGAGTGTATTGACAAAATGGTGTTCCTGGAAAGAGATGGCAGTACGTATCCTGTTCGTGTAGTCGAAGTTGTGGACTTGCCAACTAAATCCATGGGTGGTGAGGATCTTAGCTCTACAACAAACCATGCAAGCAGGAAAGAAGATGATGACGTGGACAAACCTGTGGCTGGTGGGGGCGAAAAATCGTGACATGGATGATAGTAAGAGGAATGATGTGGCAATACGGGCAGGTTCTAAGCGCGCATGCTACTCTGCTTCCCTTTCCATGGTTAATGAGACAGGTATAGAAATGGGAACTCGAAATACTGCTGTGGTTAATCCACTACCCAATGTCAGCATTCAGACAACATCATTGCGGGAGGTTGAGGGGAATGGAAGTCGAGCAGCTGAGGCAGTGGAGGCATCAACAGAACTGAATGGGCTTATAAAAAGTTTGAGTGAAAGAGATTTACTTAAGCCTAATATATCGTTGGAAGTGGTTTTGGATGAGGCCCATTTTGATGGGCTTAGTAAAGGGGCTTAGTAAAGGGCCTGCTAATGGTAAGGCAGTTTTTGCGGAGAAAGATAGCCCAGTTGAGGAAGTGGGAGATAGTGATGATGAGCTTAGCAGCAGTGAAGATGAAGGAGAAGTGCCCCAACTTGATGCAGCTGTTTGGGCCAATAGTATTACGGCCCAAGGTAAGGAAAGTAGTAGGCCAAGAACAGAGAAGGGGCTTACTGAGAAGGAGACGGTTAACACTGATGGCTCTCAAGGTAGACTCTGGAGAAGAAAAGGAAAATCGGGGGCTCCTTTCAGAAATGGTTTTCAACGAGATGCGTTGGTTCGAGTTGCAACAATGGCCACTTCGTCAGCTCTCTTTATTAGCAACGATGAATGTAAGCAAAAGAAAATTAGAAAAGAGGCTGAGGCCACAATGCAGATGAGAATTAAGCTGGGTCTGACACTGACTGGGCATGAAGATGAAGCTGTGGAGCAAATAATGCAGATGGAAAATGAAGACATTGATAAAGTGAAAGGTTAAGGGGTGAAGCCAGGTGCTTAGTTTTTATCACTTGTTCAGGGGCTACCTTGGTGAATTATTATGTTGTTATGAAGATTCTTTCTTAGAATGTTCGGGGATTGGGTAGGGTAGAGAGACGCTCAAGGGTTAAAGAATTGCCGAGATTGAAAAGGGTAGATATGGTCTTGCTTCAAGAAACAAAACGCTCAAGCATTGATGCCAATGATGTTAGATCTCTGTGGCCTTTTGATTCGGTGGAGTTCATGGCTGTAAACGCGATTGGCACTGCTAGAGGTCTTCTATGCATCTGGAACCCGGAGGTCTTCTCCTTAAAAGGATGTTGCTGCTCTACAAGTTTTATCCTGTTAGGAGGTACTATGCATTCTAATCTTAATTGTGTTGTTGGTAACATTTATGCACCTAACGAAGATGAGAATAGGAGGAAGTTGTGGAACACTTTAGTCAATTTAAAGTCTGCCTTCTCAGATCCATGGTGTCTAGGGAGGCATTTCAATGAAGTTAAAAATATTAGTGAAAGAAAAAGGTGTATTAAGAGGGACAGAGGTATGGGAGATTTCAGTAATTTTATTAGTTCCCTTGAACTGGTTGACATCCCCATGTTGGGTAGGAGGTATACTTGGGGAAATTGTCAAATTTGGAGTAGGATTGATCGGTTTCTAGTTAATCTTGAGTGGATGGAGTGGTACAAATATAAAGTTTGGGGGCTATCTAGACTATTCTCTGATCATAGCCCTATTTTGTTGATGGAGGACGATAGGGATTGGGGGCCGAAACCCTTTAAGTTTATAAATGCTTGGGTCTTACACCCTAATTTTCTTGAGGAAGTGAGAAGAGTTTGGGATTCAACAATGGTTCAAGGTTGGCAGGCTACGTAATTATGGAGAAGTTGAGAGTTCTGAAAGTTGCTCTAAAACGATGGAATCTGCCTGTGTTTGGAGATGTAGACTCAAAGTTGCAAGAAGCTGAAGCTCAACTACACTCTTTGGATTTGCAATCCGAAATAAGGGACTTGGATGAGGTGGAGAAGGGTAGAAGAAAGGAGGTTAGGGGTGAGATTTGGACGCTTAGGAAAAAGAAAGAGTGGATATGGGTGCAAAAGTCTAGGATGGATTGGGCTCTCAAAGGTGACCAAAATACTTGATTTTTTCATATAAAGAGTGGTTGTGGGTACAAAACTCTAGGATGGATTGGGCTCTTAAAGGTGACCGAAATACTAGATTTTTTCATATTATGGCTACTAAGAGACATAGTAGAAACTTGATTGCTTCTCTGGAGGTTAACAAGGTTTAGGTTGAAGAACCAAGTATGATTAAACAAGCAGTGTGCCACCATTTCCAGAGTTTATTTACCGAACAATGGAGATGTAGGCCAAGAATTGATGGAGAATTCAAGAAGATTGAAGCTAATCAGGTAGTTGACATTTTGGAGAAAGAGTTTACAGTGGAAGAAGTATGGGCTGCCAGTAAAGAATGTGATGGCAACAAAGCCCCGGGTCCGAACGGGTTAAATATGCTATTTTTTCAAAAAAGCTGGAAATTTTTGCAAGTGGACATCATGAAATTCATGAAGGAGTTCTACAGCAATAGTAAATTGGGAAATGGGGCAAATTTCTCCTTTGTTACTCTTATCCCAACGAAGGAAAACCCTAATTCTCTTACTGATTATCGACTTATTAGTTTGATAAATTCTCCTTACAAAGTGTTGTCTATAGTGTTGGCCAATAGACTCAAGCAAGTCCTGCCTAGTGTGATTGACAAGGTTCAGCCTACTTTTGTGGAGGGAAGGAATATTTTGGATGGAGTGCTTATAGCAAATGAGGTGGTGGATTGGTGGAAAAAATCAAAGAAGAAGGGTCTCATTCTTAAACTGGACTTCCAGAAAGCTTATGATACGGTTAACTGGAATTGTTTGATGCAAATGTTATCTAGCTTTAGGTTTGGTTCAAGATGGATTCGTTGGATGAAAGAATGTGTAGGATCTGCTCGAATTTCTATTTTGGTCAATGGCTCACCGTCTGCTGAATTTTGTCCACAAAAAGGGCTTAGACAAGGCGATCCTCTTTTACCTTTTCTGTTCAATGTTGTTGCTGAGGAGCTGAATATTTAGCTATCAAGAGCAAAGGAATTAAGGATTATCAAAGGTGTGGTGGTGGGCGGGAGAGGGGTCAATATATCTCATCTTCAGTTCGCTGATAACACTATCATTTTTTGTGAGGCTGATTAGGCTGAGATTGTGGCTGTGAAACACATCCTGAGATGCTTTGAAGTGGTCTCGGGGCTGAAGATAAACTTTCATAAAAGCCTGATTTGTGGTGTGGGAGTTGAAGATGGATTGGTGGAAGAATTTGCAGCTAAACTGAATTGTCTAAGTCATAAACTTCCTATAAAGTATCTTGGATTGCCACTTGGTGCCAATCCAGGTAGGAAGCAACTTTGGCAGCCTGTGGTGGAAAGGATTAAAAAGAAATTATCTGGTTGAAAGCGTAGGCTTCTCTCTTATGCCGGGAGAGTCACTCTTATTAAGTCTCTTCTGTCTTCCCTACCTATTTTCTATATGTCTCTATTTAAGATTCCAGTGTGTGTGGCTAAAGAAATTGATAAGATCCAAGCTAGGTTTTTGTGGGGAGGAGATGATTCTCATAGGAAATTTTTTTTGGTAAAATGGAAGGAGGTGCAGCTGCCTAGGAATCAAGGAGTTCTTGGAATCCGAAACCTTTTAGTGACTAATGAATGCTTGCTACTTAAATGGTGGTGGAGATATGCCTTGGAAGATGAGGCCATGTGGAAATTAGTGATTTGTGCCAAATACGGTGTATCCGGAGGAGGCTGGTACCCTTCATTGAATGGATTTGGGTCTGTCTCTATTATCTGGAGAGATATTCTTGTGGTGGTACATGCTAATCCTAGGTTGTATAGTTTTTTTGTTGAAAATGTGGAGCTTAAGATTGGCGATGGGAATAGGGTGAAATTTTGGGATGATATTTGGAGGGGATCCTTAAGTCTTAAATCTCAATTTCCTAGGCTGTACCAACTGATTGTAGACAAAGAGATCACTCTGAAATTGTAGATTTCTTGTCGGGACAGCACCAACAATTGGTGCTTTAACTTTAGAAGGCCCCTCATTGGCTGGGAGGTGGATGAGGTGCTTCGGCTGCAAAATATGTTGGGATTAGGGCCTTGCCTGTATAGTAATCAGAAGGATCCCATTAGTTGGAAGGCTCAGCAGTCAGGGTTGTTTAAAGTTGGAGATACCTACGATTGGTGCGTGCAAAGTCTTGGCCCTGTGCATAGTTTATCAGATTTAGTGTGGAATAATTTTGCACCTCCTAAGGCTCAGTTTATTACCTGGCTTGATTTGAAGGGTAGGCTGAAAACCTCTTCATTCCTTAGCAGAATTGGAGTCCTGGCAGGTTCTGAAATTTTGCCATATGTGTTGTGTAAAGCTAAGGAGGGAACTGCTAACCATCTTCTTCTGTTCTGTCCCTTTACATGGAATGTTTGGTCTAAAATCATGGTCTAGTGGGGCATTTAGTGGGTAATTCCAGGGTCTTTTGATGACCTGATGCATTGGTGGTTGGGGTGGAAGTTTGGGAAAAAGGCAAAGCAAGTTTGGAGAGCTATCTTCATCCCTGTGGTTTGGTCTCTGTGGATATATAGAAATGAATACACTTTTAATAATTCTCAGCCTGATATTTATGAGTTGTGTGAGGTAATAAAAGTTAGAGTAGCCATATGGGTGAAGTATTATGAGCTAGGTTGTGCCTACTCCATTCATGAGATTGTTTCAAATATCAAATGGGTGAGTCAACACCTTTAAGGGTGCTAATTTGTATGGGTTAGAGTATGCATTGGTGCTCTATGGTTATTCCTGAATCTGGATCTGTTGCTAGTATACTCTGCTTGTATGTAGGTGCTTTGAGGTCTGCTGCTCTGTGTGGTGCAGGTTTGGTGCTAATGGTTGCTGGTACGTAGTGCAGTAGCATTGGTTATTGAGTATTGTCTGTTGACGGATCAAGGAATGTGTCTACTATGCATCAACTGTATGAGGAGAGAGTATGTTGCTGATCTAGGGTGCTGCCTTATGGGTTTTCCTGAATCTGGATCTGCTGCTCTGGATTGTGTCTAATATGCCTCAACTGTATGAGGGGAGAGTAGTACTGTGGATCAAGGATCCTTCAATGACTGTGGTTTCTCTGTTAATGATCTTGTGTCTAATTTGCATCAAGTGTAATTCTGCATTAGGAATGGCCCTAAGGTCTAATGCTTTTTGTTGAGAGATGTCTAATGTTGGTGACCTAATGCATTTTGTTACTTTGTCACTGATCTGCTGTTGTTCTGTTGGGTTGTCCTCCTGATCTGCTGTTGCTCTGTGCTGGTGGTCTGCTCAGCAAAGCTATACTGTATGCTGCTGTTTGGCCTCCTGTATGCTGTAGCTCAGAGGCCTGTTGGTAGGAGGCTGCTCTGGTTGGTTGGCATGCTGCTGTAGGAGGATGCTCTGTCTTGGTTGAAGTAGATTGCTGCTGGTCTGGTACTATGATGTTGTATGGTGTTGAGTGCTGGTCTGACAGACTGCTGGTCTGGTGGTAGCTGGTTTGGCAGACTGCTGGTCTGGTGGTAGCTGGTCTGGTATAATTGCTGCTGCTGATCTGCTGCTGCTGGTCTAGTAGTGTTTGTTGGAAAAAATGATTTTTGGTGACTTTAATTTAATATTAAAGTTGGTCCCAACCTTTTATTGTGTTAAGTTCAAGTGAGCCAAAAACCATTGGGTTTTGAATAAGAAATTGTTAAGAAATTGCCTCATGATGTTAGATTCATGAATAGGATTTTAAAGAGTATTTAAATCATTTTTCTTGGCTAAAGGGTGTGAATCATTTGGGCATCCAAACTTTCATATTTTTGGAAAGGGGCTATGGATGCTTGGTGTTTTAATGATCAGCCTTAAAGGCTGGAGGCTTTTCTTCTCTCCCCTTTACATGTATAAATTGAGACCCTCCTATTAAGTTTCAATATAGAAACTTTTTTTCTTCCATTTTACAAGTCAGTTTGTCAGAAAGTTCCTACATTGAGAGAGTGCTGCCACTGTTCTTGTTCGCTAAGCTAGACATAAAGTACTTCTGCCGTAGCTGGTTTTGACCGTCGTATCCTAGGAGACAGACGCCGGAATTCCTCAAGCACTCGACCTGTGAGGCGGCGAAATCTGTTTTAAGGAAACTGCTTCCGTGCAGGCTTCGGTTTCGTCTCTTTACCCGTTTATTGTTTTGTGTATTTCTGTTGAAATTTAATTGTAATTATCAGCATATGTTTTTGGTATATAATTTGATTTCTTCATAAATTTATTTATTTAATTTCACAATTTGAACAACAGTGTTTTGGTTGGGGTAGTGTTTTGGCTGCTTGATTGTAGCTTAATGCTACTGCTGCATTGGTCGATTTGTTGGAGCTTGTTGCTTTGTTGGATGTATTGTTGCTTTTGTTTTTCTCTTTATCTTATCTTGGCTGCTCCAGATTGGTCTCTCACCAATCTTGGGCTAGTGCTAGCACATGATTGTGTTTCCTTTGCGGTGCCAACCTAGTTGGGATTGTTGAGGTTAGCTATGATGTTTTTTGCATTTCCCTGCTTTGTTGATGTAATTTTTGCATGTATTGTGCTTTTTCATCAATAAAGCTTTTGTTTTGCTAAAAAAAAAAAAAAAAAATGCACCCTTTTGCCAAAATCTTTTTCAAAGCAAGAAAGGTTTCTACCAGCAACATCCTTTTAAAAAAAAATTAAAAAATTTCAAGATTTACTTCCATTTATAAAACATTACATGTTCAATTGGGTTCAATAGAATGAGATGAAATAGAATAAAATGATCAAGTCTTATCATAGTGAATAA